CATGTAATCATTAAATAGTTAATCTTTTGTGTTTTCAATTATAAACGTGAGTTTCCAAATCAAAAACACAAGTTTCCAAATCAAAAACACAAATTTCCAAATTAGAAACGCAAGTTTTTTAACGTGTTTTCAAAATGAAATTTTCATTAATACATTTCTAAAGAGTTTCCTCTCAAGTTTCTAAGAGATTCCGGTTTAGAAACATTTCTAAAACAGGAAACAGACTTTGACCGAAGTTTTCATACAACCTAGGGAAATGGGTTCCAGTCACGAGATCTTGTAACACTTTTTTTATTTTTGCTAACCGAGTATCCTGACCCCACCGAATTGGTCCAGACTAGAGACCGAAGCGAGTAAGGACACTGCCAGGACGTCACCATGTGGCTTACCTATAACGGTTTTTGGTCTCGGATGCTGCAGCCCATATGTAAATTCCGCAGTGGCCAAAGCTCGAACCCAGGGGCGGACACTCCAGTTGGAGCTCTTTTACCACTAGACCAAAGCAACTTGGTTTTATAACACTTACCAATGCTCTAATTTGAAAATAAAATTCTAAAGCTAATTGGATTTCTTTAGGATAATCTTCTAGTAAGTTTTTTTTCTCAGGATAACCTTCTAGTAAGTTGGGATAAACTTAACTGATATCTAAACTATTAAAACTGAAGTACAATTTGAAATTAACCCTAATATTTCCTAAATAATTACCAACTTTTGCCACTCAATCTTAACAATAAATCTCGGTGGAAGCTTGCGTTATCATTAGTGGATTTCGACAAGCCCATTATTATCGAGGCCAAAATCTGATTGTATCATATAATTAAAAACAAATTAAAAAGCCTTATATTTTTAATATTAGTTGAACGATGACACTATCAAAACATACTATTAAAATATAAGTAATTGTTATCTATTTGTAAGTAGTTTATGTTGAAGTATTACATTTATTTAATTTTATATTATGTTACATACAATAAACTTACTATTATTAAATAAAGACATTATATTAATATATTATTTAAATATATTCAAAATAAGATATCAAAAAATTATTTTTAACAATTTTTTCAGATTACATTTTAACAATATCTTTAATATATTGTTATTTAAAAATAATTATTTATAGTTTAATATTATTTTAATAATAAAAACGTAAAATCAATACTATTAAAACATAAATAATTTTTTATCTATTTGTAAGTAGTTTATGTTGAACCATTACATTTATTTAATTTTATATTATGTTACATACAATAAACTTAATTATCATTAAATAAACACATTATTTAAATATATTATTTAAATATATTCAATATAAGATATCAAAAAGTTATTTTTAACAACTTTTCAGATTACATTTTAACAATATATTTAATATTTGTTATTTAAAAAATAAATATTTATAGTTGTAATATTATTTTAATAATAAAAAATGTATAATATTAAATTCAATTACAAATGAATATTAGCTCATTTTGATTTATAGGATAAGAAATAACCTTCTATAGTATTTTTATATAAATATTTCATATTTGTAATAAAAATTACACTAAATAATAATTATAAAATAAATTAATCTATAATCATAAATTATAAAATAAATGAGTTAAATTTACAGAATAACATATATTTATATAGTTTACAACGCACTTCAACTTATTAAAATAAAATAATACCATAAGATATTTAAAATAAGAAATAATTTTCTATTTTAATATACATATCTAAATTAAAACATTAGGATATAATGTAATATAAAATACAATACTAAATTTAGTTGACATTAATATTATTTGATTACATGGTATATGGAACTATTTGTTATGATTACAATTATAGTTTTTTCATATTATTTCATAAAAATGTAAGCAATGAAAAATATATTCAGATTATGCCTTTAAATTTTTTTTAAAATAATTAAAATTAATATGAGCCGGTGTATGTAAATGAATTATCTTATTGTAATAAAATTGTATTTATACAAATTCTAATTTAATTAATATACTTTTAAAACAAAAGTTTCATTATAAAAGTACATATATATATTTCTTCTTTTTGACAAGGCAAAGTATCCTCTAGATAGCTTTTTGTAAAATTTGAACATCATTAATATGATATTAGCATTCTTAGCAACAAAAAAATACATATATATATAATTTATATTTTGGGTAAATAAAATTTTGAATATAAATTTCTAGACCATCTAAATTAGGTTTTAAATTGGAGTTGAGCAATCAAGTATCCATTAGGATACGAATTGGGTATTTTGAATTTTGGTTCTAATTTATATCACATTTTAGATCTCATTGTGCTAAATTTGTAAATATGTATTGAGGTTTAGATATAACACACTGGTTTTGGTTCTGATTTGTATCACATCCTAAAACCATAAAGTATTCATATATCGTGAAAATGCGGCTTATACTGGTTCGGCCCGAATATATCCAAAAGTTCAATCCAAATTTTTTAATCAAAACATAAGAAATAAATACTTATTTATATAGAAGCATATATTTAAGGTATTTTTTAAAATTTAAATATTTATTTTTAGATATAACTCGATATTTATGTTTCAAAAATATTTATATTTCTGATCGATTTTTCAAATATTTACATGTTTATTTTGGGTTATTGGTTAGGATTGGCTACCACCATACAAGATCTCTTATGGTCTTTTTACATTTCAGATCGGATATAGATAGAATTTTTGTAGTTTGGGTTCGGCTTGGACTTCAGGTTATGAATTTTATGCTTAAACATATTTTAAATAAAGAGAGAAGACTATTATATAATGTACATTCAACAAAATAAACAAGATACATCAATTTATAATCTCAATCACATTAACCAATAACATAAATGTTTTTAAAACATTTAAAAACATATTATTTCATTGAACATATATCCGCGCGGGTCAAAAGCTAGTATCTATTATTTGGAATTTCAGATATTTCACCATGACAGCATGACTATATTTCTACGTTAATCAATTAAGGTTCGATCTCTGGCTAAACTCCATTATAACAAGCTTGTTATCTTTAAACACACAATTATGACAATAAAAATTGGTTGTGGTTAAACCAAGAAATTAAGCAAGATATCATCATTGCATAATAAAATATCTTCGCTAATAGTTGGCTCAAAATAAACTATTGCCATTTCCATTGCAATTATACTTTTTGGGTCAAAATGCAATTATACTTTTTAACCAAAACATTTCATACTAAAACTCAGGGAAATTCTTCAAAATATATAATCATTTTGTAATGGCTAATTAAACAAAGCATTCATAGATAGATTTTCGACCCTGATTAACAAAGTAGTGACCACTTAGCTTTCATTATTTAGTTTATTAGCAGCATGATTGGTCGTGAGCATATGATTGTGAAACATTGGCATATGATCTTTAAAAGTTTTAGCAAAACATTGTATATAAACTCTTACTAAATTGTATATAGCCTGTAAATTTCAAGACCAACCTTGCTAGCAGGATTTGATCAATGTTCCATTTTTATGCTAGTTGATGTAAGTTTCTATTAGGATAATGTAGTTTGTATGAGCACTTCAGTCGTTAGAAACCTATTAAGTTTTTTTTTTCAAAAACTAATATTTCAATTATACATTTACTTTTCATTTTATTTAGATCAAGTGAATTAACACATGAAGTATCACGTAGAATTTGAGATTCTAAAAATATCTTAAAATTTTGGTTCACACAACTTCTGACTTGTCTCTCTCCTACTTCTTAATAATTTTCGTTTAATTAAATGATGGAAAACTAGGTGAGAACCTACTGATAATAGTGTTCTAAATATTTTCCACTGAGAGAGAGACTTTGTGTGCCTATCTTCGTATATTAAGCATAGACTTACTGATTGAGGTACAAAAAAAATAAAGCATGGTTGTGGAAGAATATGCTGTTTTCCGGTTCCTATCATGCTCATTTTTAAAATTATACATCTAACCACACTCTTTTAAAATTATACATCTAACCACACTTTTAATTTTCTGTGTTATCGAAATTGTGGTCCAAACATATATTAGACGTTCGATATACAAACAAACAACTCATGTGCTCAAAAGATTATATGTCAACACCATCTCTAAATCACTGAAATGCCCTTGTCACCGACCTTAAATCTTGTTAGCCAATGAGGACTGCTCCTCGTTTGTGTGTCTTGTCTGAGTCTGTGATTGGCTCATCTCTAAACGTCTTGGCCTATAATTAGGCAACATTTAAGCCGCAAAGACCCTCTCCCATTAGTTGAGTCATTTAATCATTTTCATCCATAAAACAAATACATAAATCAATCAACGGTCCTCGAATGCATACAAATAAATAAAGTTCCCTGAGAACAAATGAGATCTGAACACGTGTGTATGGCCGATCTAAAGTCGACACATGTATTTTCCTTATTTATGAAAAGGTCTATCACATACCATACAAGGACTAATGTTTATTGGTTGGTTGAATCAAAAAGGTACTCTGAAAATAAATACTATTTAAAAAGAATGTTTGATATCAACTAATCTCCCTTTGAAATGATACCTTTTAAAATTCGATTGAATTAGAGTAATAGTTGTTGTACTATGTTGATGTGGAATATTTACCTAAGAAAATTTTAAGAGAAATGTTGCTAATCTATATATACATCAACACTAACATGGTGTTGGAAAAAACATGGTTTTGGCAATACATTCTGTGAAACACCCTTGTACCATTAGATGTATGATTTATCCTTTAGAATTAGAATTTTAGTTTAAGATATTTAGAAATATAGTAACAAAATTATTTTTGTCAAACTATTGACCATTGTTAGTTATAACTTTCTTTTCTTTATCCCAAAAAGGTTTAGTGATTAGTAGTAAGTATCTTCTAAGGGAAGTTCAACAAGTAATTTTAAGTGATCAAACAATTTTTCAAAAAGTTACCAAAACTCATAGAACTTAATATAATGAGTATATATATAACTTATATAATTGCTGACAAAAAATGTATATATATATAACTAAAATAATGAAAAAGCTCATAACATTTTGTATAGAAATAGCCATAGACAATCACAGCTCAACAGCTTTTTATCTCACCTCTCACTCTCAGATCATTCTTGTTTCATATACTTCTGTCTCTCTCTCTCTTTCCTCACATTTCATCTCTTTCTCTCTCTGTCTCTCTTGCCTTTTCTAATTGAGAGTTTGGGAGAAAGTGAAGAAGAAGAAAAGGTTTTGTTCATTTTAGCAGCTTCAAGCTTTCTCAACCCACCTGAGTTTTTCTCCATTGCTCTCATGTGAGTTTCAGTCTTTTTCATCACTTTTCTTTGTGACTTTGTCTCTATTTCAGCCTTCCAAATCTCAGATCCTCTGTTTTTCTTCATTTCAATTTCTTTTTAACTTTTTCCTCTCTATATTGGGATCTGACACTACGAAACTGGTTTGGTCAAAGAGACTCATCCTTCAGACAAGAACGCTAAGAAACAGAATCTTGTTCTTCTTCTTCTTATCATCTCTCTTTCTCTCTCAGATTCCATTTCCAAATGCCATTTTGATAGATCAGAACCCCAAACTCTCTTTTCTCTCTCTCTCTTTCTTTAACATCCACCATTGATATAGAAAGAGACACAAGTTCAACGATCGTTGAAAAAACATGAACCGAGGAATCCAAGTCATGTCACCAGCAACATACTTAGACACATCAAACTGGTTGTTCCAAGAAAACAGAGGAACTAAATGGACACATGAAGAAAACAAAAAGTTCGAAAACGCCTTAGCCTTTTACGACAAAGACACTCCCGACAGATGGAACAAAGTCGCCGCCATGCTCCCCGGAAAAACCGTCGGAGATGTGATCAAACAGTACAGAGAGCTAGAGGAAGATGTCAGCGACATCGAAGCTGGTCTGATCCCGATCCCTGGCTACGCCTCCGATTCATTCACACTTGATTGGGGTGGTTACGACGCTGGAAACAATGGGTTTAACATGAACGGATATTACTTCTCCTCAGTCGGAGGAAAGAGAGGATCCGCCGTGAGAGCGGCGGAGCATGAACGAAAGAAAGGTGTTCCATGGACAGAAGAAGAACACAGGTAAAACCTTAACTCATCTCTAGATTTGGACTCTGCACTTTTTAGATTTTCTTTAATACGTACGTCTTTTTCTTGGAAACGTGTTAATGCATACGTATAAAGATACGCGTATATACGGTAATATAATTATTATATATTGTAAAGACAATATACAGAGTCATCCACCAAAACAAATTGCATCTTTGGTGCGTGTCGGTATTGCGTACCTATTATTGGTCAGACACACGACCTAATGTCACATGACACATTGGTGTAATAATGCATATGACATTTTATTCCCTAACCAGGACATAATCCAATGGTTTGTATTAGTATTGTCATCCTTCACGTTCAAATACGGTAGCATCTATCTTGTTAGTATAGTTGTATAAAACTATGTCCAGGCCAGGATTCCTCTCTATAATTCAAAAAATAAAAAATAAACAAATAAAACTATGTTCAGCTCGGTATTCCATTGGTTTTATGAAATTGTGTAGAAGAAATTAATAGATGTTTTTTTTGCTTAAATATAGTTAAAAATTCAGGTTAGTTTCCATTAAATTTGGTTATTTTGGATCAAAAAATTGGTTAGTTTGGTTCTGGTCAAAATCCCAAGCCTAAATGATCTAATGAGAGTGAGTCGGTTTGGTTTAATGTGTGCAGACAATTTCTGATGGGTCTAAAGAAATACGGAAAAGGCGATTGGAGAAACATAGCTCGAAACTTCGTAACTACACGGACGCCAACGCAAGTCGCAAGTCACGCTCAAAAGTATTTTATAAGGCAAGTCAACGGCGGCAAAGACAAACGCCGATCAAGCATCCATGATATCACCACTGTCAACATCCCAGACTCTCCTGATGCCGCTGCCACTGATACCGCAACCGCAAACGCACCATGCTCACCACCGTCAGTAGGAGGAAGCCAGCGGGAGGCGTCAGATCAATGGGAAGGTCAAACCACATACGATGAAGCAACGGCTGCGTTTTACAATCAAAACGTGTTTCAAGAAACGCTACTCGGAATGTCCTCAACACCGTACATGGCAAAACTGCAGGAGCAGAGTTTTCTAAACGCATCGCAATTCGAATCGTACAATGCGTATCTCCAAATGTAGCACAAGGTGAAGATCTCGGAGAAGTTACCGAGTTAATAATCATTAATAACTTGTTTACTCTTTTGTTTTTATTACTTGATCCTCGCGGCGTGCATATACAAAAATTTAGCTGCTTCTTTTTATTCAGAGATATTTATGTTTCCGCGCTATATTTTTTGTTGTTGATTCAACGAGATTTCAGCAAGTTAATTAGGTTTTGTTTATTTTAATATCTGAGTGATTAACTTTGCATTTTGTGTTTGTGTGATTTGGACCTATAATTTTTGTTGTGTGAGTGGTGTCATGTAGTGTAGCCTTTTGTTACGTTTTCCATTATTGATGGATTTTCAATTAATAAATTATTATTATTATTATTATTATTATTGCGCTTTGTGAGATACTTGCAACTTTACCTTTTGCTATTTTCATTTCATTTGTGCCAGATTTTACCAAAAATCTTAAGGTTAAATTTGAAGACTGAGACGAAATTTAGATAGGATGTGTAGAATGTAAAACGTAAAATGTTACAAAAAAGCTCCCAGCCGATGCTGGAAAGAAAACTTTTCGGTTTAATAAGTAGTTCGTTCATTTGCTATGATCAAAATTTTGTATTCTGGTGTAATATACTTTCACTAAAACAATATGATTTCGGTTATCCTTTCGTTTTTAATTTTTTTTACCGATAAAATATTAAAAACAGTTTAAGTGGGGTGTGCTAGGTTAGTAATAATATTTTATTTAGGAGTATGAAGCTAAAAATATATATGTAAAGTGGGCTTTCCATTTATATAATCCAAGATATTTAACAACTTGGTGTCGTGACAAGTATGTAATCGAAACCTGGCTTTGTGGTGATTTTTATTCAAAACTTCTTAATTACTCACTTTTGTTAAAAAAGTTATTTAAAATTATTTTCTGAAGTCGAAGTTGACAAGATAATGAGAATCTATAGCGAGCCTAAAGAAAGACCATAAACAAAAATGAAAAAGCTACAATGATTGATATGTTTTTGTTCACCAAGTTGACAATTTTATAAGTAGTTTTTTAATCATGGGGCTTTATGTGAAGAATCATATACTTCTTACCTCATAGTCAATTGCAGTTGAGGAAACTAATTCACCTCTTCCTAACTAATGTGTAACATAAAAAAAGTTTAGAGGCATTTTAATTACCTTTTCAACATTAGGAACTTTTTTTTGACAAAGCTTTATGTGTAACCAGTACCGGCCCTGAGGGGAAGCATTACAAGCAACCGCTTCCGACCCTCAAAAAATATTTGAAAAATTCAACATTTTTTATAAGAAAATTATTATTATAGTATATAAACGTTCTTATAAAAATGACCAATTTTTAGATAATTGCTTCTGGTCTTTCCAATGTCAAGACCGGTACTGTGTGTAACAAAAAAAAGTTTAGCTTTATTTTTAAGGCAGATTGTTGATTCCTAACATTTCTTGTAATCTCATTTCCATAGTGTTAGATTGTTTTTTTTTACCGGTTAAGTCATCATAACCTGCTTTTTTTGTTTCTTAAAAGGTCAATGAATGTGTTATTTTTTTAGTTTCAAAGTTGGTCTTTGCTTATTAAAGTGTGTGCCAAGATGTTTAGTTACTTATTTTTTAATGTTTGTATTCTTACCAGGACGAGAGACTGAGAGGGTTGGGGCGAAGGAAGGGGTGAGGGACACTTGTTAACTATTATTCACACATCATGCCGTTTAGACAAGATCGAGCAGCATATATGTCGTTTCTATTTTCAAAGTTACACAACACGATCATTTCATCTTTAGCTCATGGCAGTGGCACTAATCAGTACTTCCTTAAAATGTTGCAGCCATTTCCCCTTTAACTTTCAAAGGTTCAAGCTGGATAGGGTCGAAGTTCATTAATCATAAAAAAAAAGTAACCGTTACAAAGACCCGATGAATAAAAAAAATAACCGTTACAAAGACCCGATGACATTGATTCCGAAGAATAATCGTTTAAACGAAGATTTTTAATAATCATGAATTCTAAAGAATACTGAAGATAAAGAAGATGAACTGAAAGTTCTTAAGAAAATAGTATTGAATAATCAGTTAGTATTTAAATAGAAAGTACTAATTAAATGCTAATCTAATGATCTGTACTTGTTAACAAGGATCATAAAAGCCCAAGACTATTAATAAGCCCAACAAGTAATACAACCAAACAAAAAGCATTAGGAAAGTAAATCACGATTAGGATCATGGATACGAGATCATGTGAGGAGGATGCGCTCCATCAGGGACAGTATCATCTGATTGCTTCATTTACACGTAATTATTCATTTCATGAGACTTGAAGTAGGAGATTCCACAAGTTGCTTCTTGATACATTTTTGGGGTCATGATTTGTTTTCACCCCGAACAATAAACAAATTCTTAATTTCAATAAAGATAATGTCATAAAGAAACTCTTGGACAGCAGTGCCGGCTAATTTTCCAATTTCTTCATAATTGACAAGAGATAGGAAAATTCTATCATCAAATAAATCAGAACCTGAAAGCACATTGTCGTCTTCTATAGAGATTTTGTACTGATGGTTTGTAGTTCGATACTGACCACCAGCTGCAGAGACGGATACGTTTTGAACAACTCCCCATTCATCTACAGGTAAAGCACGATGAAATCGGTACATGAGACTTGGTTTGCAAGAAGCATGGATCTTATTTCCCTAAAAAAACATACACATCATATTAGATTCAAAGAAGCATAAGTAATGTTATATAGAGAAACGTTATAAACATAAAGTTACCCATTAATCTGCTAAAATCATCTGAAGCTATCACCTCTGGAAGATGTGTGTTGCTTCCATGAATGCAAACATTTCACTTAACCTCTCCAATTGTTTTTGTAAGGTGTAAGATTTTTGAGAGGAGTAAAAACCGTCACGATAGACATTTTTAGGATTTTGGTTTTTGGTTTTCTTTGATATGTTTTTGACGATTGATTAAAGAGATATATATACTTTTGATTGGAAAGAGTAGGTTAAATTTGAAAAACTAAAACAAATTTGGTTAGCTGTGAGTTACACGCAAATCAAACGAAATATATGTTTTTAAATTAATTAATATATATTACTTTTATGATATCATATTTAAAAAGAATATAACTTTTTAACGGTAGGCATTACATGTTTTAGAAGATTTAAAAACAGAAGATGATGATTGTGTAGTTAATTGATATCTTTTTTTGATGTGGAGACTGCATAGAAATATGAAAAAAAAATCATAATGTTGTTTTATTTTTGAAAAGTAATATTTCGTTATAATATTCTGTAGTTAATTGTTATTGTGTAGAAGTAGCAATTTTTTTTGGAATAATCTTGAGTTTTGGATGGAAAAAAGCAGAATTAGTTCGATTTTGTACACGGATTAAATCTTCTGATATTGTTATCACAAACCTAAGTAATTTTAAGAAATCATAAATTGGATAAACAATAAAATCGCTAAACTATACTTGATTAGATTAATAATGTTGTTTTCATAATCAAAAACGAAATACAGAATGTTAAGAAATGGTTGATGTGAAGATACATTATCTCATTTAAACTAAATTTCATGTTAATAGTTTAGTTTGTAATGGTTTAGGTAATTTATAAAACAATTGGTCACAGGTTATGTCGGTTGGATTTTGAATAATATAAGTTGTGATTATGATCTGGGCATCAGGTATAATAAGCCCAAAACATATTATTTTATTCCAAACCAAACCCGAAAATTATTAGGGGGGTATGGAACGTCAAGAGCGAACTTATTAGAAGCGAAGTAATGGCATAGGCATGTAATTATTTAGAAAAAACTCATGGCTAATTCATATTTGTACTCATGTTTTAATAGTTCAGAGCAACATTACTGGCAACTCTTAGCAAAGTCCTTATCCATTTTCGGCCCAAAAATACTCCCGATAAATGAAAGAGATGTTGGCTAATTAAGAAGTTTTTGGGCCTCGTCCTTAGTACACGTGTCATCTCGCGATAGGGAAACGGAAGCGGTAGAGGGAAGTCGACTTTTGGTCTGGATTTCATTCTCATCGTGTCTCTCTTCTCTCTCTCTCGAGACGCCGATTTCGTGGGCGATACAGACCGATCTCTCTGCTCTGCTCTCTCTCTCTCTCTCTCTCTCTCTCTCTCTCTCTCTCTCTCTCTCTCT